CCAGGGTTCTGTGTCTGTTGACTAAATTTGGGCACCTGTCTGAGGAGTTCCTATCATAAGGGGTTTGTACATTGGGAGCTTGTGCCCCATATTTCCGAAACTCCCCCTTGGGGGGTGCCTTTGATAGGGGTTACGGGTTTTGGGCGGTATTTGCAGGATGAGATGGCGGGCTATCGACAGGTTTTCATGCGCGTTGCGGATAGTATTTGCAGAGCTAAGAACTCAGAGATGTCGCTTGAGGGGTTGTGTACAGGAAGTATTTGATGAACGCCTCTTCTCTCTTTCCGCGGTACCTGCACACAAGGGACTTGCAGCATGAGGATCCGACAACCTGTCTTACTCTCGCGATCCTCCCCAGGCACAGCAACTTAGGGGTCTGAATAGTGACCAGTATTCAGGTACCTCCAGACCCCTTCATTGTGTGGTTATGTTTCAGGCCCCTGTAGTAGGTCATGATCGACTCCTGCGTCCAAGCAATGGAGGGTGGCTTCGGTGCTGTGTTCCTCGACTATACGGTGGCTGGAAATCTTGGACCCCTTCGGGTCCCTATACTTCACTCAGGTCTCCAGGGGGCCTCAGGTAGGAGAAACCCTGGGTTTCCTTATGGTTGGTCCTTCCCCGGAATTCTGTACTATTTCGGGAGACACCCATAGCATTATGTATCTTGGAAGGTCAAATGGTACATGGAGTGGTGCAAGATTTCCTTCATGAACAGCACTTCGAGTTTGGCCTTTTTGTGAGGGTGTAGATTTCAGGCTTCAGGCTTTGGGTCAACAGCCTCAAGCAAGCACCGAGGAACCGCTTTGTCCGCCAGCACATAAAAGCTGCGCTGGAGGATGGAGGGTCGAAACGGCTTGGGCGGTCTTACCCTAGAAAGATGTGAAAACTTAAGCATCCATGCAAAGCTCAGTCTAATGATTCGGTTGGTCCCTTGCCTTCATGCCCTCATTGTATGAGCCCAGCGGACAACATGGATTTTGTGGACAATCGCGCAGCAAGCACGTCTGAACCCCAAAGGTCCAAGTACACTAAGTCACTAATACCTACATTGGGCCCTCAAGCCTATAGCATTCAATATCTATAGGGTCTAGGGTTCAGGGTTTAGGGGTTAGGGTATAGAGATCAACGGTAGGGACCCAAGTATATAAACCCACAATACCTACATTGGGCCCTAAAGTGGGCCATTCGGATCCTTGGGAAACCTTGAGCACTAACGCCAAAACTGAAAGTCCAAGCCCGAAACCCAGAGGGTTCTCAGGTATTCTGACCTTAACTGCAAAACATATACATGTTATAGGGTTACATAGGGTGTATATAAAGATAATGGAAAATGAAATGGAAACTACTACAGTATATTTGGGTAGATCTTGGGGTGATGTAGGGATAATGGAAAACGAAATGGAAACTACTCTATCATAGTGCTATATAGGGAGTATATCATGTAGGGGTTATATAGGGATAATGAAGCAAACGTGGAAGCTACTATTTAGGTTTGCCCGTTGAAGTGTGAAGTTCTTTGCCATGGGTAGGTGTCGGTCATTCCTCGTGAGAGTAACTGTCCTGAAATGGCACTACTCACGCGGCTATTATAACTCCCATTACACATCGTGACAAGTGTTACTGTCAGTGGGGAATGCCCTAAGGTATTGGGAACATCCAGGGAGTTGCCGAATGAATTTTACTAGGCGGGTTACACTGTTAAACCCTAAGCCCCAAACCTGACACCCTGAACCCTAAACCCTGACCCCAATCAAGAGGAAGCTCACACATCCTTTGAGGGGCGCTTTGAGGCATTGGTGAGCATCCTGTCGCCTATGTTTTAGGGTGGGGTAGTGCTCCACAAGGATTTAGGATTTAGTGTTTAGGGTTTAGGATCCAGGGCTTACGATTTGGGAATTAGGATTTAGGGCCTAGAGTTTAGAGTTTTGGGATTCGTATTCACGTATCCATAAGAATCAAAGAGCATTTTCCCTTTTCAGATTCCACACAAGCGCTTCCACACAAAGCGCTCTTTGATTCTTCCAAAGGGCTTCACAAGTACCAACCTGTGTCTCAGGGTCTTAGGGTTGAAGGGAGTTTACACGGATACCTTTGAAAGGGGTTATAGAGGGATGCACGGGCAATATAAAGGTGTGGGCATTTGGAGGTTGAAGGTTTGGGGTGGGGACGGGGGGCGTTGGGAATCAAGGGCATATCTGGGTTTACGAACTAGGGTTAACATAGGATACAAACCATGTAATGTTGGACCCGCTTTAGTGTGTACGTCCCCCCCCCCCCTCCCCCAAACAATTTTTGGATTCTGAATTAAAATTGTTTGAGGGGTTCCCCGTAAATCCTAATGGTAATAGTATTAGTACTAGTATTAGTAGTAGTATTCGTATTAGTATTCGGTATTCGTATTCGTATTAGTATTAGTATTCGTATAAGTATTAATATTAGTATTCGTATTCGTATTAGTATTAGTATTCGTATTCGTATTAGTATTAGTACTCGTATCAGTATTAGTATTAGTATTCGTATTCGTATTCGTATTAGTATTAGTATTAGTATTAGTAGTAGTAGTAGTAGTAGTAGTATTATATTTAGTATTAGTATGCAAAGGCTTCAGAAGCTAATGCATAGCGTCAAGATTTTGAGGCGGGGCCTTATATCAGCACCCCTGCCAGGA